TTGCTGATGGGGCCCAACTCAAAATAAGGAAAGACAGCTGTAAACATCCATTAGCAATTAGAACTTGAACATACAAAATATTAATCTAGGAAAATTGGATGTGATCAAAAATGAAATGGCACTCACAAAGATCGATATCCTAGGCATTAGTGAGCTGAAATGGATTGGTCTTGACCATTCTGAATCAGACGGTCATAATTTACTATGCCAGGAATGACAAATTGAAGAGGAATGGTGTCACAATCTTAGTCAAAAAGAGTATTTCAAGATTTATCAGTCTGTGATAGGATAATATCCATACCCCTACAAGGAAGACCAGTTAATACCACTATTATTCAAACGTATGCATCAACCACTAATGTCAATGATGATGAAATTGAAAACTTCTACAAAGTTCTTCAATCTGAAATTGATCAAACATGCGATCAAGATGCATTAATAATTACTGGTGATTGGAATGTGGAAGTTGGAAACAAAAAAGAAAGATCTGTAGTTGGCAAATGTGGCTATGGTGAAAGAAACGATGCTGGGGATAACATGATAGAATTTTTCAAGACCAATGACTTGTTCATCACAAATGCCTTTTTTCAACAACATAAAAGGCTCATAGATCTCATCAGATAGAATATACAGGTATCAAATTGATTACATCTGTGGGAAGAGACTGTGGAAAAGCTCAGTATCATCACCCAAAGCAAGGTCAGGGGTAGACTGCGGAGCAGACTATGAATTGCTCATATGCAGGTTCAGGCTGAAGCTGAAGACAATTCAAATAAGTCTACGAGAACCAAAATATGACTTTGAGTATATATTGTTGTTGTTGTTGTTAAGTGAGTATATATATCACACCTAAATTTAGAGGCTATCTTAAGAGCAGATTTGATGCATTAGACACTAAAGACTGAAAACCAGAGGAGCTGTGGGAACATCATACATAAAGAAAACAAAGTCATTTTAAAAAAAAGGGAAGAAAAAGACCAAAATAAGTATCAGAAGAGACTCTGAAAACTTGCTTTTGAACATAGAGATGCTAAAGCAACTAGAAGAAATGAGAAGTACAAGAGCTGCACAGAAAATTTCAAAGGACAGCTTGAGGAGACAAAGTCAAGAACTATAATGAAATGTACAAAGACCTGGA